GTGTATTTGTAATAATTGTGGTGATAATAATTATTATAATTTCTAGTGCTCTATCTCTACCTATGGCAGGTATATTTGTAATAACTGGGATAATAATAATAATAATAATAATAATAATAATAATAATAATAATAATAACAACAACAACAACAACAACAACAATAGTTTCCAGTATTCTAGCTCTATCTATGCCAGGTCTATTTGTAAAATTTTTGATGATGGTGGTGATGATGATGATAATTTGCAGTGATGCATACCAGGTATATTTTTAATAACTGGAATAATAATAATAATAATAATAATAATAATAATAATAATAATAATAATAATAATAGTTTCCAGTGCACTAGCTCTATCTATGCCAGGTGTATTTGTAATAATTGTGGTGATAATAATTATTATAATTTCCAGTGCTCTATCTCTACCTATGGCAGGTATATTTGTAATAACTGGGATAATAATAATAATAATAATAATAATAATAATAATAATAATAATAATAATAACAATAGTTTCCAGTATTCTAGCTCTATCTATGCCAGGTCTATTTGTAAAAATTTTGATGATGGTGGTGATGATGATGATGATAATTTGCAGTGATCGATACCAGGTCTATTTGTAATAACTGGGGTAATAATAATCATAATCATAATAAGAGTTTCCAGTGCTCTATCTCTGTCTGTGTCAGGCCTATTTGTAATAATTGGGATTATAATAATTTCCAGTGCTCTGTCTCTATCTATGCCAGATCTGTTTGTAATAACTGGGAAAATATATCTCTATGCCAGGTCTATTTGTAATATGTGGGAAAATAATAATAATAATAATAATAATAATAATAATAATAATAATTTCCAGTGCTCTATCTCTATGCCAGGTCTATTTGTAATAAGTGAGAAAATTATTATTATTATTATTATTATTATTATTATTATTATTATTATTTCCAGTGCTCTATCTCTATGCCAGGTCTATTTGTAATAAGTGGGAAAATAATAATAATAATAATAATTATTATTATTATTATTTCCAGGGCTTTCTCACTCTATCTGTGCCAGGTCTATTTGTAATAATTGTGATGATGATGATGATAATAATAATAATAATAATTATTATTATTATTTACTGTAATCTCTCTCTCTCTCCCTCTCTCTCTCTCTCTCTCTGTGTCAGCTCTATTTTTAATAACTGGGAATATAATAATAACAATTTAACATAACCCAGAGCAAAGTCTGAATTAAAACTATTCTTAAAACAAGAAAATGGGATGGGGGGGGGGGCATTGGAAAACCCAACAGTGAGAACTACAAAAACAATACATTTTCAGAAACCCTGGCTTTGCTGCTTTCCTTCTTCCAAAGCCTGGCCGGAAACAGAAGTCTTGGCCTGAGATCGCCCTGGCCGCGAACCGTTATTGTGAAATGTGTTTTAGCGGCCTTGGGTTATGATTGAACATTTAGACTATATATTTTTAAATATTTATTGTGTATTTTGGTGGCATTGAATGGTTGGCTTTTATGTTGTCAGCCGCCCCGAGTCCCCCGAAAGATTGATTGATTGATTGATTGATTGATTGATTGATTGATTGATTACACGCCTGTCTTTTGAGTCTGTATTTTGTGTTGGTCCATCGTTCCCATTTGGCTTGCTTTGGGGAGGCGGCCAGAGCCCGGATCTGCCTCGAAAGCTGCTATCACTTGACTCTTGGGCCTGCCTTGCGTCCTCCCTCGCAGGGTCGTGGGGAGGGCACACGCCTGTGTGTGAATGTGTGCCTTTGCATGCGAAAGCGGAGGGAAGCCTGTCGGTTTGGCCAAGGAGGGGGAAGCGATGAGATGATGAGCGGAGCCGAGCGGCGGCTTCCCCTTGCCCCCCCCCTTTCTGCCCCCAGGCCTTTGGGGAAGTGCCTCCCTCTGGGGTCCGATGGGAAGCGAGAGGTTCCCAGGGCCCGGGCCAGCCGGCCAGGTGAGTCACTTGTCCCGGGACTGAACCTCAGCCGCGCCTCCCCCTTGTTTGTGCAAGGCTGAGCTCATCCCTAGAGTTGGAAGAGACCCCATGGCCCATCTAGTCCAACCCCCTGACATGCAGGAAAAGCACCATCAAAGCACCCCTGACAGATGGCCATCTAGCCTCTGGGTTGGTGCGACTTTCCCGGGCTGTCTGGCCATGTTCCAGCAGCATTTTCTCCTGGGTTCCAGTGACAGGAAAGGAGATTACACTGAACTTGATAACCGTATGAGCTGTTCAACAGTGGAACTCTCTGCCTCAGAGTGTGGTAGAAGCTTTGAAACTTATGGACACTCTCCTGACATRAARCCATGGGTTCCGTTGACAGGAAAGGAGATTACACTGAACTTCCTGACCGTACGAGCTGTTCAACAGTGGAACTCTCTGCCTCAGAGTGTGGTAGAAGCTTTGAAACTTATGGCCACTCTCCTGACTTGGAGCCATGGGTTCCAATGACAGGAAAGGAGATYACACTGAACTTCCTAACCGTACTAGCTGTTCAACAGTGGAACTCTCTGCCTCAGATTGTGGTAGAAGCTTTGAAACTTATGGCCACTTTCCTGACAYGGAGCCATGGGTTTCATTGACAGGAAAGGAGATCACACTGAACTTCCTAACCGTACTAGCTGTTCAACAGTGGAACTCTCTGCCTCAGATTGTGGTAGAAGCTTTGAAACTTATGGCCACTCTCCTGACTTGGAGCCATGGGTTCCAATGACAGAAAGGAGATCACACTGAACTTCCTAACCGTACTAGCTGTTGAACAGTGGAACTCCCTGCCTCAGAGTGTGGTGGAAACTTTGAAACTTATGGCCACGTTCCAGCAGCATTCTCTCCTGACTTGGAGCCATGGGTTCCAATGACAGGAAAGGAGATTACACTGAACTTCCGGACCATATGAGCTGATCAACAGTGGAACTCTCTGCCTCAGAGTGTGGTGGAAACTTTGAAACTTATGGCCACGTTCCAGCAGCATTCTCTCTTGACTCTGAGCCATGGGTTCCAATGATAGGAAAGGAGATTACACTGAACTTTGGTTCAACCCCTTGCCATGCAGGAACACACAACTAAAGCACACCCAACAGATGGCCATCCAGCCTTTGCTTTAAAAAGTCCCGAAGAAAAAACTCCACCATACCTATAATATGAAAATACATAATTTTGGACCACATCGGCTCTTTGGCTTAGAAATGGAGATGAGCACCAGAGTCGGACACGACTGGACTTAATGTCACTGGGGAACCTTTACCTTTATATACATATGCATACATATGCATACATATAGAATCATAGCATAATAGAGTTGGAAGAGGCCACATGGGCCATCTAGTCCAACCCCTTGCGATAATGTGCATACGTATACATAGAGATGATATACATATATTCACACATAATAATTGTGTATTTTGTTATTGTGTATGATGTGTTTTAACTGTTATTGTTGTGATAATTTACATTGTGTAAACCGCATTGAGTCGCCTAATTAGGCTGAGAAACGCGGTATAGAAATAAAGCAAATAAATAAATAAATAAATATCATATATAGGTATATAATAATAATAATATTTTAAAAACTTTTATTTATACCCCATCACCATCTACCCAAAGGGGACTCGGCGCGGCTATATGTGTGTACATATGTGTATGTGCATACATACACACATATATGTGTGTATATGTATGTGTATATGTATGTGTGTGTGTATATGTATAGTTTGTAGGCATGACTTATGGCCTCCCTATGAATTGTATAGGGTTTTTCTTGGGCAATGAATAACTATACAAACACTCACCATACATATACATATATGTACGTGTGTGTGTGTGTGTGTGTGTGTGTATATATGTATGTATGTATGTATATTTTGTAGGCATGACTTATGGCCTCCCTATGAATTGTATAGGCTTTTTCTTAGGCAATTAATATTTATATATATACACACGCGCACACACATATATACATATATGTTTGTATATTGTGTATATATGTGTGTATAGTTTGTAGGCATGACTTGTGGCCTCCCTATGAATTGTATATGGTTTTTCTTAGGCAAGGAATATTTATACATGTGTGTGTGTGTCTGTGTGTATATATATATATGTATGTATATATTGTAGGCATGACTTATGGCCTCCCTATGAATTGTATAGGGTTTTTCTTAGGCAATGAATACACGTACTTATATGTGTGTGTGTGTGTGGGTATATTCCTTGCCTAAGAAAAATCCTATACAATTTGTAGGAAAACCATAGGTCGTGCCTACAAACTAGTATATATATATAGTGTGTGTGTGTGTATAAAATGTATGTGTGTATGTGTATATATATATGTGTGTGTGTGTGTATATAATGTATGTATATATATTGTGTGTATATGTATATGTGTATATATAATGTATGTGTATGTATATATATAATGTATGTGTATATATATACTGTGTGTGTATATATATATGTATATATAATGTATGTGTATATATATATGTATATAATGTATGTATATATATTGTATATATATATGTATGTATATATATTATATAGTGTATGTATATATATATTGTGTGTGTGTGTGTGTGTATATATATATATATATCTCCACACACATATATGTGTGTAGGTATGGCTCTTTGTCCCAGCTGTGCCTGGGTTGGGCTCCCTTCCGCTGACCCCCAGGCCCGCTCTGAGGGAGGGTCTGTCTGTCTGTCTGTCCGGCAGGGGGCGCCCCGCCCTCCCTTTGGCCTCTGTTTGGGATCCGGGACCATTTGGTTCCCATCTGCTGCTGCTGCTGCTGCTGCTCCCGGGCTCCCTTTGGCCGGCCCTTCTTCTCCTCTCCCTCCTGCCTCTCGCTGGGGACCGTCCTTCACAGGAAAAGGGAGAGTTTGGGATTGTTTTCTCATCTTCTCCATCATCTCCCCCCCCCCTCTCTTTTTTAATTCTTTTTTAATGTGACTTTTTTCCCTTCTCTTTTCTGTGTGTGTGTGTTGTTTCCCCTGCAGCTGAACAAAAGGTTCGTCCTGAGTTTTCTGCATGCCCATGGGAAGCTGTTTACCAGGATTGGGTAAGGCCTGCTGCAGGATGTTTGCTTTATTTTTTCCAGCATTACGGAGGCTTTTTGGAATTCCAATATTGTTAGCAACTGGGCCCAGTGTTTGGAGGCCTTCCTCCTTCTGGGGTGGCATGCAAAAGCCATTCCAAAAAGGAAAAAAAAAACAAAAAAGAGGCTCCCTAGGGTCATCCAAACGGGCCCAAAACGAACAACAACAACAACAAAACAGACCTCGACCTTGCTCTCTGTTTCTACTTGTAGTCATGGAGCTGGTCTACATATCCCATCAACACAACTTTCCTTAGTTTTGGTACCATTTGGTATTATTATTGACACATGTCAGCTTGCAGTTGGTCTCTGTCGCAAGCAACCTCTTGCTGCAGATGCAGGCAAAACGTCAGGAGAGAATGCTTCTAGAACATGGCCTTACAACCCAAACAACCTACAACAATCCAGTCTCCATATTATTATATTTTAGGCATGTGCAGACAGCCATCTTTCTCACACTTCATACACAGGCACATTGACCTCCCATCATCATCATCATCATTATTGACACAAAACCACAGTATGACACAGCAAAGCATTATTATTATTATTATTATTATTATTATTATTATTATTATTGACACAAAACCACAGTATGACACAGCAGAGCATTATTATTATTATTATTATTATTATTATTATTATTATGGCGGCTTTGGCCTTATGGTCACTCACAGAACATTATTATTATTATTATTATTATTGACACAAAACCACAGTATGACACAGCAAACGAGATCTATATGCTGGATGTCTAGGACTGTGTGATGTATTTCCGAATGATGTGCGCAGATATTATTATTTCGAAATGATGCGCGCAGATCCAAGTAAGGTGGCCTTTTGCAGCTGACAGATCATGATTTTGTCAGTGTTTATTGTTTCCAAATGCCAGCTGAGATCTTTTGGCATGGCACAGGTTAGAGGTCCAAATCCGGGGAGAGCGAGGGTGAGCTCCCTCTTGTCAGCTCCAGCTCCCCATGCGGGGACATGAGAGAAGCCTCCCACAAGGATGGTAAAATCTCCGGGCAACGTCCCCTGGGCAACATCCTTGCAGACGGCCAATTCTCTCACACCAGAAGCAACTTGCAGTTTCTCAAGTCGCCCCAACACAAAATAATATATAAATATATATATTAATAGTATATATTATATATATAATAATATAGTATTATTATACAATAATAATAATATTAATTATTATTATTTATTCTCTATAGCCCACTTTCCGCTCCTAATCAAGACTCACCGTACCAAACATGAATACAACTCCACAGATTCTCAAGAGTTTGTGGCCCAAAAGATGGCTGCCCCCTCCAGTTTTGATCAAACTACATCTCTCATCGATCACCCCCAACCTGGGGTTGATGGGATTTGCAGTCTAGCCACTTCTCTTGAAAGCTCATTCCATGTGACGTCTGGAAAGCCTTTCTCTCAGTGCTGGATGGCTATCTGCCGGGACGGATTAGATTGTGCCTTCTTTCCTGGCAGAAGGGCGTCGGACTGGATGGCCTTTCGGATCCCTTCCAAGTCTAGGAGTCTATGATATACATATCAACTCTCTCGCTCACTGTCTCTCTCTGTCTTAGTCATATCTATTTATGGCTGGATGGCCATCTGTTGGGAGAGATTAGATTGTGTCAGATGGCCCTCTGTCAGGAGGGATTAGATTGTGCCTTCCTTCCTGGCAGAAAGGGGTTGAACTGGGTGGCTGTTGGGGTCCCTTCCAACTCTAGGATCCTATGATTCTATACGCAGGTTCTGAGTGGCCCTCTGTCGGGAGGGATCGGGTGGTGCCTTTGGGTCCCCTTTAGGACTCCATGATTCAGGATTTTTAAGCAGAGGCTGGATGGCCATCTGTCGGGAGAGATTAGATTGTGTCTTCCTTCCTGGCAGAAGGGGGTTGGACTGGATGGCCCTTGGGGTCCCTTCCAAGTCTAGGAGTCTATGATATACATATCAACTCTCTTTCTCTGTCTTAGTCATATCTATTTATGGCTGGATGGCCATCTGTTGGGAGAGATTAGATTGTGTCAGATGGCCCTCTGTCAGGAGGGATTAGATTGTGCCTTCCTTCCTGGCAGAAAGGGGTTGGACCGGGTGGCCGTTGGGGTCCCTTACAAGTCTAGGATTCTACGATATACATATCAACCCTTTCTCTCTCTTTGTCTGTCTGTGTCTTTCTTAGTCATATCTATTTATGGCTGGATGGCCATCTGTCTGGAGCGATCATACTATGTCTTCCTTCCTGGTAGAAGGGCGTTAGACTGGGTGGCCCTTGAGGTTCCTTCCAAGTCTAGGATTCTATGATATACATATCAACACTCTCTATCTCTCTCTTAGTCATATTTATTTTTGTCTGGATGGCCATCTGTCGGGAGAGGTTAGATTATGCCTTCCTTCCTGGCAGAAAAGGGTTGAACTGGATGGCCCCTTGGGGTCCCTTCCAAGTCTAGGATTCTATGATTCTATACGCAGGTTCTGAGTGGCCCTCCGTTGGGAGGGATTAGATTGTGTCTTCCTTCCTGGCAGAAGGGGATTGGACTGGGTGGCCCCTTGGGGTCCCTTCCAAGTGTAGTTACCTATGATTCTATACGCAGGTTCTGGGTGGCCCTCTGTCGGGAGAGATTAGATTGTGTCTTCCTTCCTGGCAGAAGGGGGTTGGACTGGGTGGCCCTTGGGGTCCCTTCCAAGTCTAGGATTCTACGATATACATATCAACCCTCCCTCTCTCTTTCTCTGTCTGTCTTTCTTAGTCATATCTATTTATGGCTGGATGGCCATCTGTCGGGAGAGATTAGATTGTGTCTTCCTTCTTGGCAGAAGGGGGTTGGACTGGATGACCCCTTGGGGTCCCTTTGAGCTCTAGGATTCTATGATTCTGTACGCAGATTCAGGGTGGCCCTCTGTCGGGAGGGATTAGATTGTGTCTTCCTTCCTGGCTGGAGGGGGATTGGACTGGGGTCCCTTCCAAGTGTTGTTACCTATGATTCTGTATGCAGGTTCAGGGTGGCCCTCTGTCGGAAGGGATTGGGTGGTGCCTGGCCGAGAGTGGGGTTGGGCTAGATGGCCTCGGGGCTGACAGCTGCCCTTCCTCTTCCAGGATGGAGTCCTTCCCGTCGGTGGCGTCGGAGGTGCTGCGCCAGTTCCAGGCCCTTCTTGGGCACAGCCCCCCACCCCTGGGCAGCCCCCGCCTGCTCCAGCTCATGGCCATCAACATGTTTGCCGTCCACAACGCCCAGCCCAAAGGTAGAGTGGCCCTCCGCACCGCAGGCACACCGAGAACGGGACCTCTCTCTCTCTCTATAGATATAGATATTTGAAAGATGGTCTTATTATGATTATTTTGCGGAAGGGGTGATGGCTGCGCTCTCTGCCCATCTGTGCCCAATTTACCCCGACCCGCGCTCGCTCCCTCCCTCCCGTTCGTAATTTGTTTTATGATTTCTGGAATCAAACCCGTCTCCGACACACTGTTCTGCTTTGCCCTATTATTGGATTATTGGTTTCGGGGGTGAATCGCTACGGGATGTTTGCGGGCCACCCCCCGGGTCCCCTCCTCCTCCTCTTTTTTTTCCCTTCCCTTGCTACAGACATTTCCGCTCCAAGGGATGATGGGATATGTAGTCCAACACAACCACTGGGTGACCTTTGGGGAATCCCTTCCAATCGTATGAGCGTTTGAGAGGCTGGGTGGCGGTCTTTCGAGAGGGATCGGATTGTGTCCTCCTTTGTGGCAGAAATGGGGTTGGTCTGGATGACCTTCGGAGAATCCCTTCCAATCATGTGAGCGTTTGAGAGACTGGTTGGTCATCTGTCGAGAGGAATCGGATTGTGTCCTCCTTTGTGGCAGAAATGGGGTTAGTCTGGATGACCTTCGGAGACTCCCAATCATATGAGCGTTTGAGAGGCTGGGTGGCCATCTCTCGAGAGGGATCGGATTGTATCCTCCTTTGTGGCAGAAATGGGGTTGGTCTGGATGACTTTTGGAGAATCCATTCCAATTGTATGAGCATTTGAGAGGCTGGTTGGGTATCTGTTGAGAGGGATCGGGTTGTGTCCTCCTTTGTGGCAGAAATGGGGTTGGTCTGGATGACCTTTAGAGAACCCCTTCCAATCGTTTCAGCGTTTGAGAGGCTGGGTGGGTATCTGTCGAGAGGGATCAGATTGTGTCCTTGTTAGTGCAGAAATGGGATTAGTCTGGATGACCTTCCAATCATATGAGTTTGAGAGGCTGGATGGCCATCTGTCAGGAGGGCTTTGGTTGTGTCCTTTGAATGGGGTTGCCCTTGTGGGGCGGGGGCCTTCCAAACCTAGGATTCCTCTGTGGCTCTCTGAAGGGCGAGATGGCCATCTGTGCGGAGGTCTTTGATACTATTTTATTTATATTATTTTTAATTTATCATACATTTTTGGGGCTGGATTGGATGGCCTTTGGGGGACCCCTTTCCTAGGATCCCCTGACCTATGCATGTATCTGTAAGGTAACTTTTCCAAGGCTGTCCCAGTGGGAGAAGGCAAGTCTCCCAAAAAGGGCCTTTTCTTCAAAAACATACATTTTCGAGGATATATATATATATATATATATATGTTGCCAAGACGCTCTGCAGCTGCTGCTGAACCTTATGTCTGTCGGGGTTTATAGCCGTCTGCATCGAAACGGCGGCTTCGTTCCAGCCTCTCATATATATATATATATATATATATATATATATATATATATATGTATGTATGTATACACACACACATATATATATATCCCCCCCCTTTTTTTTTTTTTTGCTTTAAAGTCCCCCCTTTTTTTCCGAGCCAGACATCGAATTAATCTCTGGGCACTTTAGATTGCTGGCAGGCCCAAGCAGGATGTGGGTTATTTCTTTCTCTCTCTTTCTCTCCCTATTTTTTTTCTCTCTCTTTTTTGGCTGACTTTTTTACCTCTGCAAGAATTTGGACGGGACTGGCGTTCGCTCCTTTCCTCTCCCATCATTGCCCTTCTGCCGCTGCCGCCGTTGCTGCTGCTGCGGCTTTCTCTCTTTCTCCCCTCCTTCTAATAGATTTCATATGTCGACGCCGTTGACATCAGTATCAAACTATTCCCTCCATGTGATCGCGGGTGTATTTCCTGCAGGAAATCTGCAAGATATTTATTAAGGGCTAATAAAATAAACCTCGCTCTCCCCGAGCTTTTTAGGTAGTTTTCAATTGTTCACGTCTCCCTGGCTTCCCTTTTATCAGCCAGCGGGTTTGGGGGCGATATATATATACATTACAATATACATTATAAATTTTAAATATATAATATATATTGTTTTTGTTTTTATTATATCTTTATATTTAATATCTCTCTATAATTAACTCTACTATATATATTATTTTATTTATATTATTTTTAATTTATCATATATATTGTTTTTGTTTTTATTATATATTTATATTTAATATATCTATAACTAACTCTACTATATATATTATTTCATTTATATTATTTTTAATTTATCATATATATTGTTTTTGTTTTTATTACACATTTATTTAATATATCTATATTTCTACTTTATATATTATTTTTATTTTTAATTTATCATATATTATTGTTTTTATTTATACTATTTTTAATTTATCATATATATTGTTTTTGTTTTTATTACATATATATTTAATAATATATCTATGTATTATTCTACTATATATATTATTTTTATTTTTAATTTATCATATATTTTTATTATATTATTTTTATTTATACTATTTTTAATTTATCATATATATTTTTGTTTTTATTACATATATATTTAATAATATATCTATATATTATTCTATGATATATATTATTTTTAATTGTATTATTTTTATCATATACTTTGTTATATATATATTCTACTATATATATTACTTTGATTTATTTTTATTACTTTTAATTTATCACATGTATTTTTGTGTGTATATATATATATATAATTAATTCTACTATATACATTATTTTGATTTATTTATATTATTTTAATTTATCATATCTTTTGTTATATATATTCCACTATATACATTATTTTGATTTATTTTTATTATTTATTATTTTTGTTTTATATATCTATATTTAATATATATAATTAATTCTATTATATATATATTGTTTATATATATATATATTATAATTGTATTATAATATAATATATATATATATTCATTATCGTTCAGTTATTATTATCTCTATTTTCTCCCTTTGGTTGAGTGGCTGTGAATATTATATATGTTGGGTTGTGTGTGTGTGTGTGTGTGTGTGTGTATATATATATATATATATATCTGCATTGCACGCTCTGCTTGGCCTGTCGGCTTTGCTGCCCGTCCTTGAGGCTGGCATCAGAAGAAAGGGAAGGCTGTCCTTCTTCCAAGAACTCTGCTCTTTCTCAGCTTGATAAGCCTCTCAACCCAAACGCCTCTCTCCCGATTGGAGTTGGCAGGGAAGCCTCATTCTTCCCTCTGTCTGTTTATTTTTCCCTTCTTCGTCCCGGGAACATATGTGCCGCAGCCCCAAGAAATGGAAGGAGAAGCCACAGAGAACCCCGTCTTGGCATCCTAGCCCATCTCCTTTAGAAAGCCAAAGCAAATGGGCCTCGATACACAAAGGGGAGCTCAACGGGACCCCATAGGTCATCTAGACCTCGTAGGAACACACCACGGAGCTGGGGAGCAAATGGGCCTCGATACACAAAGGGGAGCCCAGCGGGACTCCCAAAGGTCATCTAGACCTCATAGGAACACACCAAGGAGCTGAGGAGCAAATGGGCCTCGATACACAAAGGGATCACAACAGGACCCCCAAAGGTCATCTAGACCTCGTAGGAATACACCACGGAGCTGAGGAGCAAATGGGTCTCGATACACAAAGGGATCACAACGGGACCCCCAAAGGCCATCTAGGTCTCATAGGACCACATCATGGAGCTGAGGAGCAAATTGGCCATCTAGACCTCATATCTCAGGATGACGAAGGGGCAGATGACCTTTGGAGGTCCCTTCAAAGACTTTGGAGGCCATTCAAAGAACCATTCCTGTGTAGCTCTTGCTTCATGTCTTTTGGAACGATGAAAGGTCAGGATAGATGACCTTTGGAGGTCCCTTCAAAGACTTTGGAGGTCATTTAAAGAACCATTCCTATGCAGCTCTTTCTCCATGTCTTTCAGAATGATGGAGAGTCAGATTAGATTACCTTTGCAGGTCTCCTCTAGGACTTTGGAGGCCTTTCAAAGAACCATACCTATGAAGCACTAGCTTCATGGCTCTTGGAATGATGAAGGGTCAATCTAGGTGACCTTTGGAAGTCCTTTCTAAGACTATGGTGGCCTTTCAAAGGATCATATCGATAACGTGCTTGTTTCATGCCTCTCGGAACCATGATCAGAGTAGATGACCTTTGGAGGTCCCTTCTTTGACTTTGGAGGCCTTTCAATGGACCATACCTATGAAGCGCTTACTTGATGTCTTCTGGAACGACGAAGGGTCAGACTAGATGACCTTTGGAGGTCCCTTCTTAGACTGTGAAGGTCTTTCAGCACACCATATCTATGAAGTCCTTACTTCATGTCTTTTGGAATGACAAGTCAGAATCGATGACCTTTGGAGGTCCCTTCTTAGATTTGGAGGCCTTTCAACGCATCATATCTATGAAGTGCTTGATGTCATATGGAGCAGCAGTCAGGCTACATGAGGTCCCGTCTAAGACTTCGGAGGCCTTTCAATGGACCGTTTCTGTGAACTGCTTGCTTCGTGTCTCTCAGAACGACAGAAGGTTTGACTAGATGACCTTTGGAGGTCCCTTTTAAGATGAAGGGTTAGACTAGATGACCTTTGGAGGTCCCTTCTAAGACTTCGGAGGCCTTTCAGCAGACCATTTCTATGAACTGCTTGCTTCGTGTCTCTCGGAACGATGGAGGGTCAGTCTAGATTACCTTTGGAGGTCCCTTCTAATACTTTGGAGGCCGTTCAATGGACCATACCTATGAACTGCTTGCTTCATGTCTCTCAGAACAACGGAGGGTCAGACTAGATGACCTTTGGAGGTCCCGTCTAAGACTTTGGAGGCCTTTCAGCAGACCGTTTCTATGGACTGCTTACTTCATGTCCCTCGGAACTGCGAAAGGTCAGAGACTAGATGACCCCTGGAGGTCCCTTCTAAGGCTTTGGAGGCCTTTCAGCAGTTTCTATAAACTTCTTGCTTCGTGTCCCTCGGAACGACTGAGGGTCGGACT